TACTTTAAGGCTGCCCTCCACATGCCTGTGGAGCTGCCTCGGCCTCCCCGTTGGGCTTCTAGCCTGCAGGCCTTTTTTCTCTCTTCATTATTCTTTCAAACCCATGGTCTGGGTGACTGCCATCAAATGCAGTTTCTCCACCTCCACTCGTGCCATGACCCAGCCTTAACTGGAAGCAGTGGCAGGGATGGAGTGGAAGCATGCACCCAATGAGGACCAGAAGGGGTTTGGGATGCTGGTTCCTACTACTTACAGGCAAGAACGCATGAGTTAATGCCTGCCTGTGAGCACCAAAGACAGACACACTTCCAAAACGTTAGCAGGGGGCTACTGGAATCCTAACCGTGCCTGAAAAAAAAAAAAAAAAAAAAAAAAGATTGCAACCTGCTCCAAAGATGACTTTAAGACAAAGAAGTGGATCTGAAATATTTCCTACACTGCTTGTAAAAGTTAATATCTTTTGGGATACATGTGGTACTCACTTAGAAATCAGCGGCTTTCTGATCAACTGAAACATTAGACAGAAACCTTCAAATATTTATTTTCCAGTTGCTAAATATTTCTTACCTATATGGCACTGAGTCACAATAAGTACTTTCTCCCTTCAAGAACCCTCCAAAGTAATAGGTAAGATAGATGATTAATTTCAGTTAGATTCAAAATTATATTCTATGCTAAGTTGTGCCTCCTCAAAGATAAGCTGAAACTCTAACCCTTCAAGTATTAGGAAATGTGGCCCTTCTTGGAAATAATCATTATGCATGCACTAGTTATGACACAGTCACTGGAGTAGGGTTCAGCCTTAATCCAATCCAAGAGACACTGAGAGAAAGATGGGGAACAAAATATCAGGTGACAATGGAGGTGGGTCTTGGAGTGAGACAGTTTGCAAGCCAAGTAATGCCAAGGACTGATGGCAACACAAGCTGGAAGGAACAAAGAATTCTTCCTACATAGTTAGGTGTAACATAGGACATCTTTAATTCCAGGAGGCCAAGGCAGGAGAATTGTCAGTTTGAGGATAGCCTGGACTATATAATGCGATCTTGTCTCAAAACAATAACACAAACAAATAAAACTCAGAAAAAAAAAAGAGTTCTCACTATTCTGTTCCAAGAGAACGTGGTCTTCTCAACATTTTGGCTTAGATTTTTTTGCTTCCAGAACTTAGAGAATTAATTTTTGCTGTTTGAAGCCTCTAGTTCACTGGTTCTCAACCTGTGGGTCACAACCCCTTTCACAAACCTTTAATCTCCAAAAAAATTACAATATGATCTATAACATCAGGAAAATTACACTTATGAAATAGCAATGGAAATAATTTTATGGTTGGGGTCACAACATGAGGAACTGTATTAAAGGGTCACAGCATCAGGAAGGTTGAGAACCATTGCTCTAGCTTGTGTGGTCTGTCATGTTTTTGTAGCTAGTGTTATATGTAGGGAATGAGTAAGTCCTTAATGAACGTATGTTAATGACATGGGTACAGCCATGTAAGGACCAATGTTTCAGGTCCATGGGACTGACAAAGCCTTTCCTGAGTGGGGCTCAGAGGGATGGAAAATCTTCTTATGGTTGGAGTGAAAATATTGATAGTGTGAATAGAAAATGTCTACTGTAATCCCCCTGCTGTGGAATAATCCTTTTGTACACCGTCAAGATTTGTCACTCGAATTGATTTAATAAAAAGCTGATTGGCTGGGAGCCAAGCAGAAATTCTAGGCAGGACAACCAAATTAGGAGAACCGTAGGAAGAAGGGGCAGAGTCAGAGAGACACCAGTCAGCTGTCAAGGAAGCAGGATGTGTAGAAAATGAGGTAACAAGCCACGAGGCACATGGCAACACAGAGATAAGAAATGTGGGTTAATTTAAATGTATGAGTTAGCTGGTAACAAGCCTGTGCTATCAACCAAGCATTGATAAGTAATATTAAGTTTCAGTGTGTTTGTTTGGGAGTTGCTGGCAGGACAGAAACTTCCACCTACCCCCCCCCCCCAGATATTAATGGGCTGAAGACTGCACCCCCACAGAGATTAACTAAACCTGTCCCCTTGTTCAGCTATATGCAATAACCTTGACTCTGTTCAGCTGTATATACTAAACACACTGAGTTTCCAGGGTGGCTAGGAATGGGCCCCATAGGATTATATTTGAATGCTTGGTCATTAGGAAGTAGCCCTACTTGAGAGGGATTGGGAGTGTGGCCTTGGAGTAGGTGAGGCTTTACTGGAGGAAGTGTATCATTGGTGGAGGGCTTTGAGGTTTCAAGGACCCAAGCCACACCCAGTGTCTTTTTCTCTTCTTGTCTGCTGATCCAGATATAGATCTCTCCGCTCTTTCCCTAGCACCAAGTCTGCCATTGTGCCTCTGTGCCCCTGCCCCCATGATGACAATGGACTAAACCTCTGAAACTTTAAGCCAGCCCCAATTAAATGCTTCCCTTTATAAGATTTGCTGTGTCTCTTCACAGCAATAGAACATTGACTAAGACATAATAGGGTGCTGAGTCTTCTCTACCAGAGAGTCAAGACCACCCAATGTCAGCTCTTTTGTATAGCTGTCCTTTATTTTCCCTTGATGTCCCCTGTGGTGGTCTGAATGTAATTGGCTTCTCTAAGTCCATAGGGCATGTGACTTTGTTGGAGTAGGCGTGGTCTTGTTGGAGAAGTGTGTTACTGTGGAGGCAGGTTTTGAGGTTTCATATATGCTCAAGCCATGCTCAGTGTCTCAGACCACTTCCTGTTGCCTGTGGGTTAAGATGTAAGAACTCTTAGCTCCTTTCCTGGCACCATGTCTGCCTGCATGCTGCCTTGCTTTCTGCCATGTTGATAATGAACTACATCTCTAAACTGTAAGCCAGCTACCTCAATTAAATGTTTTCCTTTATAAGAGTTACCATGGTTCATGGTGTGTCTTCACAGCAAGAGAAACCCTAAGGTAGCCCAATTAAGCCAGTCTCTGGAGCTGTGCAGGGCCCAGATGTTATAAGCAAAATTACATAATAAAGATAAATTATTTCTGTTTTACAGAGTTGTGAAGGGCATATATAACCTTTAGCACAGTTTTATATAGAGAGATGGCAGGAAGAAAGGGGGCTTCATTTACTATATGCCTATCCTAGCCTTCAGATAGCATTTTTGTTTTTGCTTTTTGAGACAGGGTTTCTTCATGTAGCCTTGGCTGTCCTGGAACTCTCTAAGTAGACCAGGCTGACCTTGAACTCACAGAAATCCACCTGCCTAACCACCACACATTACTGTTTAAAGTAATAAAATGTGTGAAATAGCCTAGCCTCAATTTTCTGACACATATTTGTGGCAAAGGTGAATACAATTCAGCCAGTTTTCCAGAAAGACTGCTTCAAAGTAAGCAGGCTATGGGTGTAGCCCAGTGGGAGACCACCTCAAGTGCAGGTGTGGCAATAAGTCCCCAGTGATGTGTGTGTGTGTGTGGGGGGGGTTGAGTTATGATAGAATTAGGATTGACAGAAAAACTAGTATTAAGACTGTTGTCTGGTGAGCCAGGCAATGGTGGCAAATGCCTTTAATACTCATTTTACTAAGCCTCTATCATACCATAAAAAAGCAATTGCCTTCTTCCTGGAGACTTTCGGGAATGAACAGTCACTATCTAAAGTCTCACTCTAAATCCAAATTGCCACAATAGTAGCAGGAGGGCTGGAGAGAAACTCTTGTTACTGTTGCAGAGGACTGGGGTTCAGTTCCCAGCATCCACTTAGTGACTGTTAATTGTCTGTAACTCCAGTTCTAGGACTCTGATGTCCTATTCTGGTCTCCTCAGTACCAGGCACCCATGTGGTGCACAGACATATCTGCAGAGAAAACACCCATAAACTAAAAAGAAAAAAATGTATATATTGAGACAGGGTCACACACTATGTTGTTCTAGCTGGGCTCAAACTCACAGAGATCCACTTGCCTCTTCCTCCTGAGTGCACTGGGATTAAAGCCATGTGCCACCATGCCCCATCCAAGTAAATAAATAAATAAACTTTAAAACAAAACATGCTGTCTGGGACTAGTGAGATGCAGTGTGGGGAACCTGACTGGAGTTTGATTCCAGTACCCACATGGTAAAGGAGAAAACTACTCCAGTAAAAATGCCCTACCCCCCTCCCCTCTACACATACACGTGAGCTGGTTCATGGACATCCACATACAAAACAAATGAATGCACTATTTTTTCTAGAATGTCTGGAATTATTTCCAATGATTGTGCATTATGATGCTTCACAGCAAGGCTTCTAGATTCTACTAAGATGACAGTCATTGCTCAGCAATCTCCTGCAGTAAATAAACTTGAAAATACAGCGCGGAAAGGGCTGTTTATATATTCCTCTTTCATAATGTAACCTCAAATGTGGGCTCCAAATCAAACTGACCTGCTGTCTATGGCTTCCACCTTAAATCACAGGCACCTACCAGCTCAAACAAAACATGGGGGGGGGGGTGGAGTGAGGACCAAATTATCTCAGGGGTTCTTCATTGGAGACACATCAGAATCATAAGAGTCTTGTTTCTTAAATATATATAGATATAACATTTTTCTCGCTTGCACGCTAGAGTGGGGCACGGCCTTATATAAAAAGGAACCCAACTTGTCTGGGTCCTGAAGACCCAGGGGAAGAGTTTTACCCAGAGAGCCAACCAAGGCACACAGGGTAGCTAAGGATTCATCCCTGGCCCCATGCTTATCCCCTTCCCTCTCATCACTCAGTCTTGGGTGGCTTCACACACCCTTAACACCTTCCCCTCTTTTCCATCTAGACCCCTCCCCAAATCCCGTGGGCGGACCTGAGCAGAAGCCCCGCCCTAGCCCGAGGCCCCGCCTCCTTCGGCCTGGAAGCCCCACCCCCTACGGGGAGAGCCCGGCTCTGGGCTGGGGCGGAGCGGCGGGATGCGGGGCGGGAGTGGGAGCGGGAGCGGGAGTGGGAGTGGGGGCGGGCCCGGGCCTGGCGCTCGGAGGGGCGGAGTTGCGGCGTCGCCCTACGCCTTTGCTCGCGGCAGCCGTGCCTCGGGGGCGGGGGAGCTGGCGGAAGAGCGGCGGGGGTCTTGGCGCCCTGCGCAATCGTGGGGAGCGGGACCAGAGGGTTACCGGAGGAACATGGCGCCCTGGACACTCTGGCGCTGCTGCCAACGCGTAGTGGGCTGGGTTCCGGTGCTCTTCATCACCTTTGTGGTCGTCTGGTCCTACTACGCGTACGTGGTGGAGCTGTGCGTGTGTGAGTACGGGAGGCGCGGTAGGCAGGCCGAGGCTGCGGCGCCGCTGTGGGCCCGACCTGCGCTTCCCTGCCGGTGGGCTCCCAGGCCGAGGGTTCCGGCCCACGGTTCCCGGCCGGTGGGCTCCCAGGCCGAGGGTTCCGGCCCGCGGTTCCCCGCCGGTGGGCTCCCTGGCCGAGGGTTCCGGCCCACGGTTCCCCGCCGGTGGGCTCCCTGGCAGAGGGTTCCGGCCCACGGTTCCCTGCCTGTAGGGTTCTGGCTCGCTGCTCGTGGGGTCCTGAATTCGGGCCTGCGCGCCGCCCACGTCCCGAGCTTCCGGGTGGCTACGGTCGCCTTAGGGCTCCCACCCTTCTGTGACGGAATGTTCACAAAGGCCTTTCCTTTGGAACTGAAGAAATCGCCCTTCATAAATGGCTTATGAGGTTCATTTGGCTTTAAAAACAACAAAGAAATCTTGTCTCTTCCCCCAGATTGTTTCTCTCCAAACTGCGCGAGAAGCAGCGCGCGGCCTGCGGGCCGGGGAGGGAGGTGTGTCTCCAAGGTCTGCAGTGAGGCTCAGCTTGGAGACAAATACAGGCTCATTTGGCCTGTATTTGGCCCTTTTAAGGTTCACTTCGAATGTCAGTGCTGAACTTACACAACATGTTGTTTTGAGGCTCAGAATTGAACGAGAGGTACATAGCACAATTAGCTTTTTATTGCTGTTCATTTTAAAGGTTTGTATTTTTTTTATACCTTTAGTTTTAGGGCTTTGCTTTATTTTTATTTTTGCTGCTTCCCCTATTTAATTTTTTACCACGTAGTTCTTACCCGGTTTTCAGGACTAAAGGAATAGCATCACATTATATTAAAAAGGCTTATTCATCTAGGTTGTCTTTAACGTGGAAAGAAATTCTCTTGTCATCAAAACCCCCTAGGCCATTGCTGTCTATGACAGTGAATAATTGAGTATGTTTTATACCGACTGGCTCTTTTCTGTGCTTATCTCACAACAGCATTATCAAATGAAAATCCCAGAAAAAGCAGTCCCTTTGTTTCCCAAAAATGATGTTTTAATTTTCAGACAGTCCACAGTTACCTGAAGGGCAGCCATTCTTTGGGGAAAAGCATATGGGGTAAATGCAGGAATGGAAAACAAAACAAAAAAACCACAAAGATGCTAGACCACAGACCTCAATTGTGAGTCAGGGTTTGGTTGGTTTTGAACTGAATACTTGTTAAAGCTGGGGCTTGGAGAGGTGGCTCAGGCTGCTCTTCCAGAGGTCATGAGTTCAGTTCCCAGCAACCACATGGTGGCCCCACTTCTCGCCTGCATTGCAGGCATACATGCAGGCAGAACACCACATATACATCTTAAAAAAACAAAAACATTGGTGGCACACAGCTTTAATCCCAACACTTGAGAGGTAGGTGGATCTGTGTGAGTTCAAGGTCAGCCTGGTCTGCAGAGCTAGTTCTAGGACAGGCTCCAGAGCAATACAGAGAAACCCTGCCTTGAAAAACTGAACACCCCCAAAACAAAACTGGAGTTCGTGCATAGAAAGGCTCTGGGGTGTTTATTCTTTGAGGCAGGGTTTCTCTGTGTAACCACCCTGACTGTCCTGGATCTCTGTAGACAGGCTGGCCTCGAACTCACGTCCAGCTGAAGGAGTGCTCCACAATTGCCAGGGTTTTAAATCACAACATCCTAAAGAAAATGACAACATTTGATTTAGAAGCAACAGTGTGCACCTGCCATCTTAGCTCATGGAAGACTGAGGTTCAGGCTAGCCTGGACTACGGTAGTTTTAGAACAAAATAGCGGGTGCTTTAATCTCAACTCTAAGAAGGCAGACACAGGCACATACTGAGTTCCAGGACAGACAAGAGTTGTGTAGAGAGATCCTGTCTCAAAATGACAACAAAAATATTTTTTGTAAGATTTACAAGGGTGCACATGGGCCAAGGCTCATTTATCAGTTGCTTTACCTGCTGAGCCATCTCACTGGCCCAAACAAAACATATTTTAGTTATCTCTGTAACTATTACTGAATAAATTATGCAGTGCCTTTCCAATAGTAAATTTGTTGAATGCAGTGACTTAGAAATATTTTTGAATACCACAATGTTTGCTAAAATTGAGTTAATTAGAATTGACTAGATTTAAATGTTTTTTTTTTTTTTTTTTTTTTTTTGAGACGGGTGTCTCTATGTAGCCCTGGCTGTCCTGGAACTTGCTCTGTCTGCCTTGAACTCAGAGATTCACCTGCCTCTGCTATGCACCATAGCACCACCAGCCAGCACCCTTATTAGTTAAAAAATCCCTGAAGGAACACTAAAAAGTGTGAACTAGCTACAGATTGCATAGCTTAATGAAAGTAGTTTTTTAGAAATACCCACAATAAAATGAAGTCCATATATGTTTGTATGCATGTTTTTTGGTTTGGTTTGGTTTGGTTTTTCAAGACAGGGTTTCTCTATTGCTTTGGAGTCTGTCCTGGACCTAGCTCAATAGACCAGGCTGGTCTTGAACTCACAGATTCTCCTGGCTTTGCCTCCCAAGTGCTGGGTTTAAAGGTATGTGCCACCAACACCCGGCCCTTATATTTTTATTTCATCAATCCCTTTATTTTAAGAGTGTGTGTGTGTGTGTGTGTGTGTGCGCGCGCGCGCGCGTGCGCGCCTGCCTGCCTGCTGTCTGGAATCTAACCTCTAACCTTTAGGAGTTGGTCTGAGTTTCTACCCTATGGTTTGGGGGAGCGGGGTGGTTGACCTCAGATCATCAGGCGGGCTATAAGCCCCTTGACTCTTCCTCTCCAAATAAAGGGAAATGCATGTGAATAGAGTCATGCTATGTGTTAATTGGCAGAGAGGGAGCATTTCCGTTCCTCCCCATTCTCCCAGTATTTCTAGACTTAGGTGTGTTTACAGATGAAGGAAGTGAGAGGGAGCCAGTGGAAGGGCATTGCAGAACAAAATTGACTGGGAAGTGATTCATCTGAGCTCCTGGCTTTCAGAGTGTGATAAGTGGAAAGTAAAGAACCAGGAGTAATATGCAGTGGTTTTAGATTGAAATGCCCCTTTGATTTTTTTTTTTATCCTTTCTTGTTCTCCAAGCTGATATTTGAGAATACTAATTTAGACAACATGATTTGTCTGCTTGTTTGCTGTGTTGGAGGCCAAACTCAGCCTGCCTTCCATGTGGAACACTTTTGATCCAGTTTTCATGGTTTTTTTTTAAGATTATACTGTAAGTGTGCCAGTGTTGCTGTTAAGGTGCTGGTGGTGTCAGGATTGTGTGTGCTAAGAGGGTCCCCCATGTCGTTATCACTGCAGTGGAGACATGGTCACCACTAATACTCTTCCTGTATGCTTCGGTGTTGTAGACTATGGGATTTCTGAAATACTGAAATAAGGAGTCAGCAGTAAAAGCCACTATTTCAGCGTGGGTTTCTATAAGAGAGAGAGAGAGAGATCCAGATCTTGAAAATTGACATTTTAAAAGAAGAATTTTTTTTTCCTTCAAGACAGGGTTTCTCTGTGAAATAGCTCTGACTGTCCTGGAACCCACTCTGTAGACCAGGTTGTCTTTAAACTCACTGAAATCTGCCTGCTTCTGCCTCCCAAGTGCTGGGATTAAATCACTGCCTAGCTGGGGGGTTTCTTAGTTAATGAATGATGGGGGACGACCCAGCCTATTTTGGGTAGTGCCATCCTGCCATCCTTGGGCTGGTGGTCCTGGGTTCTATAGGAAAGCAGACTGAGTAAGCCATGTGGAGCAAGCCTGTCATTGAGGCTCCTACCCTGTTTGAGTACCTGTCCTGGCTTCCTTCAGTGATAGACTATGATGTGGAAGTGTAAGCCAAAGAAACCCTTTCTTCCCCAACTTGCTTTTGGTCATGGGGTTTCATCACAGCAACAGTAACCCTAACTAAGACAGTGACCGTCATCAATGTCACATACACATGCTCAGTGTACCTTTTTTTTTTTTGAGACAGGCTCTCACTATCCAGGTCTGTTAGCCTGTAGCTCTTTATGTAGACCAGGCTGGCCTCAAATTCACAAGACATCCACCTGCCTCTACCTCAGTGCTAAGTTCAATGATGGTAGTAGCTTTTCATGTCTTCCCCTTACAGTATTCCTTTACTCCCCTTCCCCCCCCCCCCCGCCAGGTAGCCAGATTGAATCTTTTAAAGCCAAAGTCCTGGTTATTAAGTGTCTGTTTCCCAGTCTCCAGTTGCTCTCCCAATTTGCTGTGAATTCAGCTGTTCCCATGGCCTACTGTCCTGACTTTGTTTCTGCTGCTGCAGACAAACTGTCAGCTGGGTCATGGTCACCTGAGGACCCTCTCTCTGCTTTGCCTTCCTACTTGGATACTGCTACTGCTCCTCCCTGTGGAGAGGTCTATGTTTACAGAGGGAGGGTGTTTCTGACCTCCCTCTATACAGCAAAAGCTTCCTCCTTTGCCACCTTTATCCTTACAGCCCTTGTTTTAGTAGCATGTATGACTATTTGACATAGGTATGTTTCTCACCTGGGTACCCTGCTTATTGCTGTATTTCTAGAGCCTAAAATAGGAAAAACAAACAAGCAGAACTAGGAGAAGGAGGCTCGTGAATGCTAGGTGAGACCTTCCAACTTCATCAGGCATCTTTTTTAAGATACTGATACTGAGGAAATTCTGGTCCCCCTTGGGGTTCTTAGTCTCTCCAATAAAGAAATTGAAGAATGAACTCAAATAGAAGCACATGACAAATTTATAATGTTAAAGAGGAATTACAGGACGGGCAGGCTGTAAACCTCAGCAGCCACCTGAAGGAGGCAAATGGAGGGCAGGCAGCATGACATGAGAAAGGGTCAGGAAGGAAGCCCGAAAGGGTGAGGTGGATGCACAGGAAAGCCTGCTTAGGAAAGAGGTGGAGAGAAAGAAAGTCAGCTTCTGGAGAATTCAGAAGAGGCAGCAGACTTGAGGACTTACTGCATGTCTGCCATCCATAAATTAGGGGCAAGGATTCTGGCAAAG